CATGTGGTGGTATTTATAGAGATTTGAGAATTTACTAGGAAATTGCTAGGAAAAATAGGTACAAAATTTAAATTGGATATTTACTATCTAGTTCCTCTTAATTTCGTAGTAAGAAAACCAGTTCCTCCTAAGTTCCTAGTAAGGCTTTACTAGGACTTTACGAGGAAATGTTTTACTAGGGCTTTACGAGGAAAGTGACATTTTCCTCGTAAGGGCCACGTAAGCTTACTACGACCTTACGAGGAAACGTATTTCTCGTAATTGTACGAGGAACTTACGAGGAAAGCTGGTTTCCTCGTAAACTGGAACTAAACTCGTAGTAATTTTACGAGGAATAATTTTCCTAGTAAAGTTTCCTAGTAAATGCTTAGTTTTCTTGTAGTGAGTTATTCGTTAAGGAGGTTGTCAGACTGCATGGGTTTCCTATCTCTATAATCTCGGACAGGGATATAGTTTTCTTGAGCAGTTTTTGGAGGGAGTGTTTCCGTTTGGTAGGGACAAAGCTGAAGTTTTCCACTTCCATTGCTTACCATCCACAAACAGATGGTCAAACAGAGGTATTTGGAATCAATATTTGGCATGGCAGAGTATTGGTACAATTCATCCTTTCACACATCACTGAAAGCATCTCCGTTTGAACTGGTTTATGGCAGGAAACCACCGTCACTTGCTTTTTGAGGAAGGGTCCACGTATAATTTTGAGTTGGAGAGTATGTTAAGAGAAAGGGATGCTATGCTGGTCGATATCAAGTTGCATCTAGTCAAAGCGCGGGACTTTATGAAGAGCAATGCAGATAAACATCGTTGGGAATTGAGGTTTGAGGTTGGGGCTGAGGTGTTTCTCAAGTTGCGTCCTTACCGTCAAACAATTTTATCTAAGAGAATTGTCAAAAACTTGCGGCAAAATTCTATGGACCATTTAAAGTGCTGGAGAGGGTTGGTGAAGTTGCTTATAAATTGGAGCTTTCGGAGTCTTGTAAGCTGCACCTTGTTTTTCACGTCTCACAGCTCAAACCTGTACTTGGTACTGGACATTCATTAGTGCCACTGCCAGAATCACTGTCTAAGAGATATGAATTGGTCCTTTATCCTGAAGAGTTGATGGCATATCGTTATGATGAGAATGGGTTGATGGAAGTGTTGGTTCGCTGGAAGGGCAGTCGTGAATCTATGTTGACTAACAAGGAGACAGTTGCCCCCACAATAATGTCAAAATAAACTTATTTGTATAAGAAATAACAAAGTTTTTACAGCATAGTTGGTTACATTTATTAGTTTGCCCCTTCTAAACCATGGTTCAAATCTTCTCCTACACCATTTATTTTCTTTTTGTTTATTTTATGCCCCCACAAATAATAAATCTTAAATTCACCACTATGGAAGGGCCTTCCTGATAATGAGCATACATGGATGAAGATAATAGAGTTGGAGCAGTGTTTTCCAAGTGTTGAGCTTAAGGACAAGCTCAATTTCGGGGAGGGGGGTATTGATAGACCTCGTCGTTGTTATGTGAGGAAGAGACGCAGGGATGAAACTGGTTCAAAAAGAGAAGTGACTTCGGAGATGAGAAGATGACAAGAATAAGAAAGGCCGTTGGAGTCAACGGATTACACTTTTACTATAAATAAAGATTTTAATTCTTTAAAAGTCTTTTATGCAATTTGTAAGAAATTGTATCTATTCCTAGTAGAGAGAATCTACAGGAATTGGCTCTAAACCGTGATTTACGGTTAGAGACTGTAAACGGTTTGGTGAGTTCAAATATATAGACGTTGTTCTTATCACGATCCAATGATCTGCATAACGCACACATCATCTGATCATAAAATCTATGTTATGATTAGAGCCAATACAACATATGAAATAAGATACATTTAGTCACAACCAAGAAGAACATTTCTTATTTAAGCTTCACAAACGTACCCAATAACAAATCAACTCTTTAATCTGAATATTAGGAAAGTTTTGGTTTTAACAAACTGGTGCAAAGACACTAATAACTTTAGAGCTATCGAGTTGCACTAATCAAAGGTAAAACAAACAAAGCACCCCATAAGGAGAAAAGTTGAAGACCTTTGAGATAACATGAGTACCCGGTAACTAATAACTAATACAAAAGACACTGATAACTATCCAAACTCATAGAATTAGTTTTTTAAAGCTACATAAAAGCACATCCCACATGATGTAAGAGTTTTTCTACTGAAAAGTTGGAAATTTGAGAGAGTGGAGATATTAAATTACCCATAGACGGTCAGAGAGTATAGAAAGAGCGATCAGATAACCAAAATTCACCGGTTATGATTAGCGATACAGAGATGAAGCAAGAAACCAAAATCCTTTCCTGGCAAAAATGGCTAATTTCGATTCGTTTATAATGATTACAGACAAACCTCATGAGCTTGTCTTTGCTCTTTTCCATACAATAACAACACCGTAGAAATCAGACGAGGCCAACAAGTTCTCTCCATGATTCCACGCAACACACATTACTGGAAACCTGTGACCCTGCATCATCCCCATTTCTCACAACTCGTGAGTCCACTTCTTATATAACTTTCAATTCATATAGAAAAAAAATTCGATATTAACAAAAGAATTTCTCACCTGTAGCTTGTTTACACATGTATGTTTCGGTTTGGTAAGATCGTAGAAGTAAACATTCGAGTCTTCGCTCCCAGCCACTAAAGTTTCAAACAACAGGATATGCAGATGAGTCGCACTTTTCAAGAGACCTATGCATCCTCCATGAGTTAAACTATAGAAAAGTGAAAGGTTGGAAGTCAGACCTATGTACTCTCCTTTCTCTAGGGATAATAGCGGGCAAAACGATGCTTGGATTCTGTGTATTCTCGGGGCTAATTTGAGGGAGCAACGCAATGTAAGGTAGCCTTTTATCTGAAGCGCAACACTGAAACACCAACGCACAGCAGAACAATCTAATTATTACAAGGGTCTATACGGTAAACATGTGAGCAAATCAGGAAAGAGAGAAAAAAAGTTGTGCTGCTGACCTGAAGAAACACAAGTTTCCGTCCTGAGTACATGTGAGAAGTACAGGACCTGATGCCAGGAGGGAGAAGCTTCGATACTTCACAGTTGTGACCGGGGATTTGTGATTAGTACGATGGCGATGAGACCGGGATAATGAACCTGTATGGGAATCCATGCTCACTGAATATACAGTTCCCTGCAGTTTTTATTCACTACCTTGTAAAAACGACGTTCAAATGACATGGATCATTTAATATATTTAATTATCCAAGTCCTCATCACCCCCCCCCCCCCTTATAGCAGACCAGACAATGCAAAAAGTTTAATTCGAAATGAATACAGAGTGAACTTACCTGACCATCCCCACAGAAAATGATTTGGCCAGTATGGTCATGGTCCATAGCTGTCACCTCACCGTCGAACGACAGTGTTTTGATAATTCTCCCAGTGCTGAAATTGAACACCTAGTTTCTCAAGGAGAGAGGTGTTAGTTCTCAAACAAGTCAACAACTGGAGAACACAAAAGTTAATATACTTGGCTACAAGGTAGGGTGGTGTTACCGTGACTTCTTTGTTTGCATTGCCAGCAGAAAGGAAATTGTTATTAACCTGTTAAAAATCATAAAAATGGAATATGTTCAATAGAGAAGCAAGAGAAACCATAAAGTTCCTAACTCAATATCTTATACATGAGGAAGAACGGCAAACGTACAGGGTGAAAACGTATACAAAACTGTGCAGAGACTCCATATATAACTCTAATACAAACACCTCTTGACAACTCCCAAACTCGTATTGTCTTATCAAGTGATGAAGACGCAATGTATTGATTGTTTGACGAGAAGTCAAAATCTGCAAGTATTACAGAAAAATAATAAAGTAAGATGCTCGAACTAAAATTAGACATGGGAACTAAAATGAATGTCATACACACATCTTATGCTCTATCCATCACAGATCATTTCTTATACAATTTCCAACTAAAAGCATATCCAAAATAAAAACAAGCCATGAATTCAAAGTAGCAGTAACCTGTGACATCTTTTGAGTGGCCTGTCAACTGCTTGAGGACAGAAGGCTCTTCCGAGAGACTACAAACAGTTAAGGAACCATCTGATGCTCCATATGCAAGTAGATCAGAACTCATATGGCCAAACTTCAGAACAGTAACTGCAAAAGAGATACACTAGACTCATATTTCCACTAGGAAGCGAGTAGATTAAATCCAACAAAAAAAAAGATGTAAGAAATACCAGAAGATTTGCACTGATCGAAGATCGAATGCATTCCAACAAAAGAATAAGCATGTTCAAAACCACCACCACGACGAATGGAATGATCACCATCACTCAAACATGAGCTAAAACTCAATCTTCGGCTAGAAACTTGTTTCGCACTCCGTAGATCCTATAAATAAACACATGATAAGTTATTCCAAGAAACTGAAACTGCATTTCGCTAACAATGGAGCAAATTCTACTTACCCTACTAGAACCGAAGCTCTCGGCTTCAAATTGATGGGAGAGTGGACCTGGTGAAGGTAACCAGCGACCACTGATGGCATTGACCAGTAAATTAACCAATTTTTATTGTGCAGAAAACAAAAACAACAGGTCAAGTAGTACAACCTCACCTGTTCCCTGGACTACTTAAGAGGCTTGGCGTTCTCAGATTCTCCCATTTTCTAGGTCTGCTGATGAAATTACGGTAAGCAACATATCCTTTACCATTGCATCTCCAATCCTTCAACGAAACACACAAAACAACGATCAGAAATAAGCTCAATGGTTAGAGAGAGAGAGAGAGAGAGATTAAAGAGCTCACATAACGACGAGAGATAGCGCCGGATTCAGATTTCCGGTGGAGAAGAATTCGGCGGATTCCGATGTACTGTGGATCTGATTCGGCTGTTGCCGGCTGCATCATACAGCTCAAAAACTCGAGATCCTTTGATTGCTTCGGCTTCTCTTCATCTTTGTAGCTGATGGTATCACCGATCTCTACCTCTGTTCCTTGTTTCGCAAGGATCGTCTCCTTGTCCATTCGAAGAATGACGAAGATTTACAATCAGAAACGAAATTAACTGAATCATTGCTCGGAACTAGACGTATCATTAATTAATTGTTATTACATATACAACCCTCTTCTTTGTTCTAGTTCGTTGTAATCTCTCACGTTTTCGTTGTGAAAATGAGTTTATAATTCCCTAAGTATTTGCACTTAACACTTTAAATACCCAACTATTGTTTGTGCACATTTAATCCTCAAATAAATGTCGAATGTGCAAAATTGGACATTATAAAGTTAACTGTTAAATTTGTCAGAATTGTTAGTTACGAACAGAGTTTTCACGTCCGACCCAGATCTACGGCCTGACCGCTAAACTCGGTGACCAGACAAGTAAATCCGGTTTGGATTTTAAGAAATATCCACTAATTAAAAATCCGATAAAACCCGCTAAAAACCCTTAAACCCGGTGACCTGGCTGTAGGAGGTGGGCTGTACCTACCCCTTAGAACCCACAAAAAATCATACTCGGCCCAATAAGGGACGAACCGCCAACATTGACGGGTAATTGGTTGACACCCGAGTGGTGTCCGTACGAATAAGAAGCTCATCTTGCCGAGCCGAGAAAAAGCCCAACACCAGGGGCCCATTAATCGGCACCAACTTAGGTCAAGACCGACAGAGAGGTCAAGCTATAAAAGGCGAGGAGGAGAGCACGAAGAGGGGATCCCAAAAAATAGACTCACTAGGCGGCGACTTAGATTAGGGTTTTATGACCTTGCTTATTTCGTTGTCACAGTCTAGCCCGTACATTATCTCCGGCCGAGCTCTCCGAGCGCCGGGGACTCTCTTTGTATTCACTCCCGTTTATAAATAAAACCTCTCTCTTTGCTCATTATTACTTACACATTTGTAATAACCCACCGACGAGTCCAGTCACTCACCTCACTGATACACGACCGAACTCGGTTCAAACAGTTGGCACCCACCGTGGGGCAGATCAAAGTAGTGTGACGTAACTATGAACGAAGAAACTCCTTCTGACTTACAACCGGAAGAAACTCCACCGGTTCCGAACGCTGATACCCTAATGGATTCCGTCCTGGCTCGCCTCACTCACCAAGAAGAAGTCCAGAAGACGACAAACGAGCATCTAGCAGCTATCGCTGCCGCGCTCGCAAACCCAGACGGAAACCTTTCCACAGCCCGACGATTTGTTTTTAACACAAATCCGACTCCTACTCCGGCTAACCAACCCATCCTGCCAATCGAAACCCCGGTCGACGCTACACAGCCGGCAAATAGCCTAGATCTACAAACCGTTCGAGAAATCGCCGAGCTGAAGCTCGCACTTCAATAAATCCATTCCAAAATCCATCACATCACGAGTGCCGCTCCTCAGATAGATAAGGTCCTCGCTACCGCTCTCCACACACCTTTCACTCGCCGCATCACTGATGTTCGGCTGCGCATTACGGAGAAAATCCGACTGCCTACTTTTGGCGGCAGCGACGACCCGACGGAACATATGACGGCGTTCAACATCGCTATGGGTCGAGCCAATTTCACCGACGCCGAAAGAGACGCCGGTTTTTGCCAACGCTTCGTCGAGAGCCTCGAGGGAGCCGCGTTGAATTGGTTCTCCCGCCTGCCAGAAAAACTCCATCGACACTTTCCGCGACCTATCTACGGCCTTCCTAAAACATTACATCATGTTTACCAAGCAAAAAGCTACGGCCTCCGACTTATGGAAGCTGTCTCAATTGCATGGTCAAACCCTACGGGACTTCATGGAAAAATTCAAGGAGGTCGTTTCCAAGGTAGACGTCACCGACAACATCGCTGTGGATGCTCTGAAAAATACGCTTTACATCAACTCCAAGTTCCGGGAGGACCTCTATCGCAACCCAACAACATCGCTCCAAGACGCCATCGAGCGCTCAAACAACTTCATCCGAATGGAAGAAGATACCAAGGTGATGATAAGAAAGCATCATGCAAATAAACCAACGCCGAACAAGACTGCCGACTCGAAACAGGAGCCGAGACAACACTCGGCAGACGAGAAGCAACCGAAAAAGAAGAGCTTCGTTTACATGGTAGATGAAGATGCCATCTCCGACTCAATAGTCGTAGTTCGCGCCAAAGGGTGGAATCACTACCAACGAAAGGAAGACGAGGAACTAAGCGAACCAGCACCCCATAAACCTGACGCCGACGAGCGCGAACCGTACTGCTCATACCATAAGTCCAAAGCACATGAATCTAAGGACTGCAAGCAGCTAAAGGAGATATTATTTGCAAAATACTCTCGTGGCGAAATCCCAACCGACCCACCGAAACCGCGTCCGAAAGGGAATAACAGCTGGAGCAAAAACAAGGATAAAAGGGGTCAAAAATCATCCGGCAAACCGAAGGAAGAAGAACCCCAGCCCAAGGGGGAAAAGCCCGAACCTCATGATTGCGACGAACAGCCAGCCGAGGAGGAACAACCAAAGAACAGGAAGAGGATACATGTCATACTTACCGGTCCCGAATCCTCATCCGACGAAGAAATTGAATCTCGAGACCTACGTTCACTCCTCACCGCGCGACAATTAACTCGCGAGCCGAGCTCCTCCCCGACCTCCGAGATTCCCTCAACCGATCCAAAACTCGCCGAGTCACGTCCAACGCAGACGTCACTGACCTGCGGGATAAGCTGAACTCAACTAAAAGAGACCTCTGAGAAACGCTCAATCAATCGAAGCGACTCGATTTGCGCCAACACTTGGATCAGATCAGATCTCTCACCAAACCGGATCCACACTCGGGAGCACCAGGCAGACTAAACTTCATCATGGGAGGTTCACCACCCTGTGAGGACTCGGTACGCTCCGTCAAAATAGACCAAAGGCATGCGAAGTCCTCCAGAGGCTGGAACTCCCTACCTGCAGACGACCCTCCTATCACGTTTTCGGTCGAAGACGCCATCGGTGTCCACATGCCTCACAATGACCCGCTATTAATCGAAGTGGGCATCGCCGACTGCGAGGTGACTAAGGAGGAGTTGCCCAGACTGTCAAAATTTCTATCATTGGAACAAATGCTCTATATCACGTGATACTCGGAACGCCCTGGTTACACTCGATGAAGGCGATTTCATCTACCTACCACCAATGCGCCAAATTCCCAGGCACAGACGGCCGCATCCGAACGCTTCGCGGCGATCAAGAAGCAGCTCGCGCGTTGCTCGTAGCAAGCATCAAGCAAGCAACCCCCCGGGTGAACTCGATCGCCAAACCGATCCATAAAATCTACCCCCAAAATTAGGAAATCCTCGAAGTCCAACTCGACGAAAACGACCCGAGTAAAGTAGTCCGGGTCGGCGCTTATCTGCCTGACGAAATGAAGCGCGATATCGTCGAGTTTCTACAGGCCAATCAATCGACCTTTGCCTGGGAAACGTCTGACATGAAAGGAATCGACCCTTCCATCACCTCGCATCAACTGAACGTCGACCCGACTTTCAAACCCATCAGACAGAAGAGGCGAAAACTCGGACCGGAGCGTTCCAAGGCGGTTGATATACCATGATTTTGACCCGTTTTGGTCATTATTTCTATATGTTTCTATTATAATTATCTATGTTTTGGAGTCTATTAGGTATGTTTTCAGGTTCAGAAGCATTTTGTCGTAAAGTGATGATTTAGGTGCCTTATGGAGCTTAAAGTAGAGTTTTACAAGTTGACTATGAAGATCCGACATTGAGAGACACATATCGATCGATACACACCTTGTGTAATCGATCGCTGACGATTCCGTAGAAGTTGAAGTCGAGATACTCCATCGATCGATGTACGCAATGTACCATCGATCGATACAGAGCGTGATGAGCAAGATTTACTTGGCCGACTTGAAGCCCAAGTTCTCACCAAATTACAAGATTGCCCCTGACGAGTTTTTAACCTAATTGTACTCCATATTTATAGTTATGCCTATGAGCCCTAGAAAGAGACTATGAGATCTATTAAGAAAGTTTTGTATTCTATTTTTACCTAAGAAATAAAAGTATTTTCTTTTCATCTTATTCTTTTGCTATGAATCTCTTGGCTATGTCTGAGTAGATTCATCTGTTAGATTTGGGGTTCAAATAGTTATGAGGGATTAGCCCCAACTATGGATTGTTGAGTTGTTATATTATTATCCAAATGAACCCTAATGCTTACTCTAGATTTGTTACCTAGAGTTATGATTATGGAGTGACTAATCTAATAGTCATTTTCCTGAAATCATTTGGCTAAACCCAGAATCTATTAAGGCTCGATGCGACAGCCGGTCTGATAGAAATTCTCGGGTGAACACAGTTTCAATCCGGTCTGATACTCCTCTAGAGTCATCGATCGACGGCAACATATATCGATCGACACTGCGATAGCAATATCGATCGATACTGTCGGAAATCAGATCAATGGACGAGTCTAATAGCGACAACTATAGATTTGTCCAAGGGTTGGAGTTCTCATATATTTGCAAGCAATTCGTTAAGACATCCATAGATTTATAATCCTGATTTTCTGAATAGTAACCTTGAATCTAACTACTTCTTTTCATTCTTTTCAAACCCAAAACCTATTTTCCTTAGCAACTTACCATTGCTACCTATTTTTATTTATTTTTTTAAAACCTTTTCAACCTAGCTTAATCACTTAGGATTATATCTTTTGTGACTCTAGTTCCTTGTGGATTCGATCCCTAAGTACTACGATTGAACCTCTTATTTGAGAGAGTAAATCATTCCTTAGGGTTAAACATTTGAGTGACATCAGCGGTGAACGAGGAAGTCCAACGCTTACTCGCGGCCGGCTTGATCACGGAGGTACGATACCCCGCGTGGTTAGCGAATCCAGTCGTTGTCAAGAAAAAGAATGGTAAATGGCGGGTCTGCGTCGATTTCACCGACCTCAACAAGGCCTGCCCAAAGGACAGCTTCCCGCTCCCTCATATCGATCGTCTAGTTGAATCGACCGCCGGTAACGAACTGCTGACTTTCATGGACGCGTTCTCGGG